CTTATAGAACCTTAAAGTCTGCAGACCAAAAGATGGGAATGTTTGCTCTACTACCACTTTCACAATCACAAGTACTATTGTGAAAGCTTCTGTCAAGCTTCTGTGCAGTCTGTAAAGGGTCACTTTTCTTTAATCTTTGCAGATCTCCTGTATGTCTTCCATGTCAAACTCCTTGAGCTTATCTTCTGATAGCAAAGAGAAAGATGAGATTGTGATGTTCATCCAGTCCATTTTTAGGGCTCACTTGGCACGTACAGTCCTGCTTGAGGAGAGGTAAGTGAGAAGTGTTTCTGCAACACGCAGTAGCAACGTTTTTTTTGTTACAGGAGAGAGGGGTAATTTTTTAAATATGATTTTCCTGTGGGTTCCTTGGCAGAGAAGGAGAACAAAGCCATTATTACAACAAAGACAAGGGAGAGCTTGCTTGGGAGAAAATCCAAAGGGTTTGCAACGTGGGATTTGCAGTGTCCCCATGTCCTGTTGCATGTTCTCTTCCATAGCAATGAGGAGAAGTAAAATAAAATAGTTACTCTCTGAAAGAAAATGCAACCAACAGAAAACTACAGTTGCTATCAAACTGATTCCTAGGACACTTGCTTCACCTAAGTGAATCTGAAACCCCGACATGTAGAGTTAAGGGTTATGTGGAGGAAGAACAGGGATGACCTGGAATACCATCTAGAGACTTAGCTCAGGGAGAATGCAGTAATTTGCTTACTGCTTAGGTTTGTGGTGGTTCTGTCTTGAAAAGTACTTCCTTTCTTTCCAGGATTTATTACTCCTAAAGTTTTTAACATTGGCTGCTATAGTTAGGAGAGTTCTGTGGCTGTCGCCTCAAGTTAGTGTCTGAGTTCACTTCTGTGGGTGATGAGATTTTGTCTCCTAGAGGCTGGCAAGAGGAGACACTCTTCAGCACACCCTCTGAAGGCAGACTGCAGTTACTGCTCTGTGCCTCACACTCTGTGGTGTGTCTTCTTGCAGGCCCTCTGTGTCAAGTGCATCAAGTGAGAAAACAGATTCTACGGTTTACATTTCAGAGAAGAAACCAGCACTCCAGAGATCTCCTTCAATCTTCATCTCATCTCTTTCTGGTAATCTCATTTCCCTCTGTATTCAAAAGTACATATGTTCTGAGTGGGTGCACACGTGATTTTATAGAGAACATCTGCACATGCACACACACATGCAAATGCATATTTGTACTCTGTGTGTGTCTTTGGATTTAATGACATGTTGCTTATCCTGGCAAGTGCAGTCCCTTACATAAAAAATACAAGCTTTGACAGTTTCAGTACCAGCTTCCTCACAGTGCTTCGCCTTTTTGTCACAGCTGTGGTTTGGAAGGTCTCTCTCTGGTGGGAGTGGTAATTATCCAGGGAGCATGGTGTTCCCCTGTATTGCCTCTCTACTTCCTTTTCAATCCCCCCAGCCCTGTAGCTCTAGTGTGGTACTTTCCATTATGCTTTGGGCCTGAAGCCATAGACAAGCTGACAATGTTTTCACCATCCTGAATTAGTCTCTGAAGGGGACAAACATCTGGTAAAAAGAACCATCCTAGTGAGCCACATGTATTTAGTCATGGGTTTTTTTTCAGCAGTCTTCAGTTGCTGCAGTAAGGGGAAAGATGAGGCCCTGGATAACCTTGCCAATTAGTACTACTATAATGCAAACTGGGAAAGTGTCTGTCTCTTTTATGGCTCTTATGCCATTTGGTTTCCTTCTTGAATTCTTTGTTGCTCTTTGTGAGAAGATGGAGTTAAAGCCAAAGAGGCTTTTAAGAGGATATTAGGAGAACTGAGCAGGAAGGGCAAAACAATGATGCAGATAAGACAGCCCTAGACATGCAGCTTCAAAGGAGTTAAAAGCAAATTGGAATATGTTGATTCTATCCAGAATGGGATATTTTAAGCTTTTATGGACCAGTTGGAGAAAAAAGAGCAGCTTTGAGGGTGACCTGAGAAACATTGACTTGTTTTTTGTTGACAAAAAGTTGACAGTCCTTGCAGACTTGCTCAGAAACAGAGCATGCTGTAAGCAGCTGAGGCCATTTCTCTAAGATATGAGATGGGGAATAAGCCAAATTTGCAGGGGTTGTGGGTACAGAGGTCCCCCCTCGATGAAGGAAAATGTGTTTAAGAAACTTTACTGTGTTCCATATTCAGGAGCATATTCTACTTTGTGAAGGAGTAGGCACCACTTGCTTCTGTTAGAGTTGTCAGTTATTTTAGTTATGTCTAGTGACAGTATCAAGGAAAAACAAAATACCCCAGCACCCTGTTTTGCCTGGGCTGTACTGCACTAGTCATTATTGTTATGCTCAGTCTAAACCCAGAGTAAATCAGTTTTGAAATACTACCCAAAGAGAAAGCAGCACTTAAACAGAAAAAAAAAGCTTTGTGCTGCTGAACTGCTTCCAAGACCCAAAGAAGGGTGTGGGATGAAGCTAGTCTGGTAAATGTGATAGTAAGATTACTAACAGAGCACAGTCCCTGTCTAGCTAGGAAGTCTCCAAAGTAAAATTTTATTGCGGATTATCATGACAAAGTAACAAGTGAAGATGTTCTGGAGGAATTTATACTGGAAGTGGTAGAGGGGAGACCATAAGCATTCAAACTTTCTTCCTCGCAGTCCTTTTCTGGTGGATATCAACAAAGGGAGACTGAGAGCAAAGCAGGTTATGTTCACTCGTGAGCTTACAAATACAGGAGATGTAAAAGTCTGGGGTGAGTGGTAGAGTGTATCTAGGTAGCTTGTGAAGATGTTGGAGATGTGCTTCTGTAACTGCACAGCTGCCCACACTGTCTTGCACCAAGTAGCTCTGTGACATATTAGCTCTTGGTACATTGAAGATGTTATCCAAACTCCCAAAAGTCAATTTGGGGAAAAAACTGCCAAAGGAGTAGAGCATTCTGATATAAATGCCACTTCTATGAAGAAATGTGATCCCTTGGCAATCATTTTGGTTATAGCCATTTTTTTGCCACTTCAATTCATGTAGCTTAAACAGGTTAAAGTTAACTGAAACTCCAATATCCATCATTCCTATCCCATGACTGATGTAAAAATCCACCAGCAGAAGTGGGTTTTGTTGTAAAGTATTTCACTGGCCATCCTGCAGCTTGGAAAGTACATGAGACAAGGAGCTTGTTTAAAGCTGAGTGATTTAAAGCAATCAGATTCCTTCAGCTTTAAATCATGCAGCTGTTGAATAAGCTCTTCCTTCCTTTGTCCCTAGTCCAAATATGCATTTTGTGGCCTCTAGATCTTGCAATGATTTCAAACTTTCAGTGAAAGTGTACATTGCAGTAAGTAATTTGATTTAAGTCATTTAATTTCACTAGCCTTTTGGCATTGTTTTGAGAGGAATGGAAAAAATGAAAATGTGTTTTAAATGTATCCCCTGTAATAAATTTATATAATCCTGGTCTAGTACTGCAGACTTGTCTTCTAACAACAACAAAAAATATTTAAAAAAAAATAATAGCAAAAGTGTTGTAGCATTCAGTGCTGCTTTGCTTGTCTTTAGAATCTGGACAGTACTTGGAGACTTGTAAAGCCATTTCTGCTGCTTCCCTTGAGATGGAACAAATAATAACAGTTCAGCCTGTGAAACCTGGCGTTTTCTTTCTGTCTGGGGAGTGACAGGAAGGATGAATGGGTTCTGTACATGCACAGCAATCTGGAATAAGGGCAGAGTTTCTCTCTCCATACAGCTAGCCACTCTGGATACAACTGCTAATGTAATTTGAGGCTTTTTTTTTGAAATTATAATGAACTTACATACATCCCTTAAGTCTAATCAGTGCTTACCCCTTCACAGAGTTGTCGCTCTGTAGTATGTTAAAATGAAGATGAGCACAAGAAAATCTCAGACATCAAGAGTAGGATATAATCACGAGTGATCTGGACAATATTAAGTGATTTCATATATACTATCTGTTTATTGTTGGACTTGAATCTTCTGGTTATTGTGCCTGCTTCTGGAGGTTCCTTGCTCATCCTTATCACTACTACTGGCTCATAAATCTGCCTGAAAAACTTTTATGTTATTTGTTGACTGATACAGAGAAGAATTTCACTTAACTAGAAAGTCATGTGTTCCTTTGCTTCTGAGGTGGATGCAGTGGCCTCCCTGCATTCCTCCCTTCCATTCACAGGCTCTCTGTCTGTCACTCTTTCTATTTCTGGGCTGGTTGCAGTCTTCTTTCTTTATGACACATTCCAGATGCTGTGTGTGCCTCCTGTTCCACACCAGGAGTTTTTTTTTTTCCTGTGTCAGGAACCTCTTATTTTACTGCAAGACCCACAACATGTCTGTTCTTCTCCCCAACTAATATTCTCTGTGTGCTGTCCATTTTTCCACTTCAGTGTCAAAATCTCAGTGTATGGCTTCTTATGTGTCTGTTTCCTTTTTCTACAACAGGTCATCTTGATTTGCTTTGTTCTCTGGGAGACAGTGTTTTCAGAGAATTGATATTTTAAATTGAAAAATAAGTGGAGCTGAGAGGAGAATATTGTGCTAGGAGGTATTAATAATTGTCATTGCTTAGTTCATAGATCTCTTGCAGAGGGGATACAAGCTGCTGGTTCTACTCATCAGATGTTAGGGGTCTTGAATGTGTCCATTTATCCCTCTGATTTTCCAGTATTTACTGGAATCATTAGGGTTCTGTCTGCTCATGCCCTGAATGTTTTTTCAAACACTGGAATCGATGAGCTGCGTAGGATAAAAGACACCAAGAGCCTCCATTCTGTTTTTCCTACACTGACCTTTCTCCTTAGTTGTAGTCAGTTTTTCCTTTTCTGGCCATCTAATAAATACATATTTTTGTGACCTGAGATGCCTTTGGTATCGAATTGCTTTACTTTGTGATGTGCAATGACTTACAAGATTTAAGGACAATAGGACAAGTCACGTGTGGGCAATATGTCAACCTAACACTTGCCATGCATGCTCTTTAATTAAGGAGGAACAGGAATAGCTATATGCAGAAGAAGATAGATCAGAGTTATGAATAACCGTAGGTAATTCTGGAAACTTAATGGCTCAGGGAATATTACACTTCCCATAAGGGCTTGTTTTTGTCAATGCTGTTTATTGATGATCTTGTTTCCTTTGTAATTGTTTCAGCCAGGTCCTCTGAGGAGCAGCTGCAGCCTCCTCTCCCTCTGCCCGTGGATGAAGCTCACTCTGACGACTCAGATGATATTGTCATTGTCTCTCCATCATTGCAGATGAAGAAAAACTACACCCACTTTTAAGTTTTAAGAGCTGGTGATCACAAATTATTGAATTTATGAAACTATTTCTAGCAAGATAAACCATATCAGAGATGAAAAGAGGAAGATATTGGAGCCTTTTTAATGACAGTTGTCACCGTTTCAGCCATATATTGGTAATGGTTTGATAAGTCATCTCTTCAGACTTCATGGCTAAAAGCTACTGACTGACTGTTAACCTTATCCTCCTGGTATGCAGAGCATTTAAAAACTAAAAGAAAACACTTTAATATTTTGTCTCACAATAAGGATTATAAATTCAGTTCCCAAATTTAAATGAAAGCATAAAGCCTTAAGCTATTTCACATCACACAAAGTTTTGTTTCAGGTCAGCTAAAATAATTTATTTAATCAGAAGGTGGTTGATGACATGGTTCCAGTTTTCAGCCTCTGTACATGAAGGGGAGCAGTTGGTATTTGTTACCAGATCCTCTCTATTTAAAAATTTTACCATGTCATATTAAAATATCTTGGTTTTTTATTTTTATACTAAACATTTACAGTCTGTGCAGACCTTGTAAAGGCTTTCAGAAAGCCATTTCTTTGTCGTAGGGCTATTCTAAGCCTACTGTATCAGCAGGGTTTTCTTATTTATTGCCTTTTCCACGTGTGCTTGCTGTCATGTGTACAGTACTGTTTTGTATTTGAAATGTCTGATCATGTAATCAGTTTTGTGTATTTGTCAGAGAAGGTGTGTGATAGCAGGAGTGTTCTGTGAAGGATGCCCTTGTGACTGCTTTTTCTGCTTATGTATCACAAGTGTGAGTGGCTCATGCAGGGTCATCTCCAATATGTGAAAACATTGAATGGAGGAGGTATGTTGCTGTGTGTTGTGGTTGAGCTTTTGTCACTTGAGTGTCTGAAACTTTCACCCAGCTCAGTTGGCAGCACTGAGGGGTTTTAGCTGGTGTCAGCTGCTCTGCTGTTGCTGATCTTTCTTCTCAGTACCACTTGGCACGTGCACCCATTTTGTGAGTGCACAGTAAGTCCAGTCACAGGCTGGGAGAGGATCACAGTCTGCTGTGATCTTCTGGCAGCAGGCTGACTTCTGGGAAGCTGGGCACTCCCAGCTCAGTGCTGAGGGGTGTGGACTGGTTTGAGCATAATGTACAAAACCTAACCTGTGCAGTTTGGTTTGGGAACAGAAGTGGTAGGTTTAATTATAATAGAAATTAAGACCACATCCAGAAATAACACTATTTGACAATATTGTCCATGGAAGGACCAAAGACATAGTGGGCTTTGGAGAATATGGCCAGAGGGGTCTTTCCAAATCTTTTATGCAGACTGTACCCCTTCCTGACTTGAAAGAGGAGCATATAGTTCCTACTGTTATGCCAACATCCTCCAGAGGCATTACAATGTGTAAGGGTTTTTTTGCCATGAGGTAGATAAATTATATTTACTGGAAGGAGAATTTAATTTTATACACACAGAGTGAAGTTTTTGTGGAGACCCTAATGGTTTCTTTGTCATCAAGGAGTAATAAAGACTCCTGTAAACAGAAGACACACTTTTAAATATAAGATTTTTATCATCTTTTCCCTCTTCTTTTTTAAATTAAAAATCAGTCACCACAGTTTCACAGAATACTAATAAGTCAGAGCTGTCTCGCTTCTTTGATTTCAATGAAGCACTATCTGAGGCTTATCATGGTTCATGCCAGTACTTGCAGCCAGAGAGGAAACTGGATGGCTGCAGCACAATGCAGCTGATTTCATTTAATCCCATCAGTGGAAATGCTGCCTGAGCTATTTCCAAAGGCAGTTTTGGGAGCTCTCCATATCCAAAGCAGTCTGAAGAATGTCATTTACAGTCCTGTTGGGTAAATTTTTCCTGCTGGTACTTCAGTCACATGACTGTCATCTGCAGAAATGATAAAAAATATATAAAATAAAAGGGCTAGACTCCCCTTGGCAGAAGCTGAGACCCCTTTCCCTCTTTTTTTGGAAGTCATGTTATGAAAAGAAGAGTCATTTTGCTAAATAGAAGCAGAGCTATGCTGAGTTGATTATGTATCATATTTCCAGCCTGGACGTGTGACTCTGTCATGGACACCTCCAGAGAGAGTAACTGGAGCTGAGGACATTGAGGGAAGAGTGGAGTGTGTCAGGACCAGGACTGATACAAAATACCTACCTGGCTGTTATCCTATAGGGAAATACTTGGACAGCAAATACAATGAAGATGATATTCTTTTACTTTACTTGTGCTGTAATAACCAATATGAAAGTCTAAGGAAATAGATAAAAGCAGAAAGACTTGTTTGAACTGAGCATGTGACCAGCAGTAGTGCTGTCAACAGCCAAGTTCTGGGATAAAGGGGAGATAGTATCTTGTTATGACCCAAAGGCACAGACAGAAATCAGAGTGAAAATAAGCAAACATTTTCTGAGATGATTGAAAATGTGTCTAGAGCTTTGTAAATTTGAGTCTGCTATCTCCTAGCTATCAAAAATCTGATACTTAACTTGAGCCGGGCTTCAAACTCGTGTCTTAGTTTAGGAGATGGCTGTATGCTCACTGCACATCAGAAGCTTGTGTGGTCCAGAGGAAAGAGGAACCTCCACAGGATATATCTATCCTAATGTTGTTTTATTGCATACTGTAGTGGAATGTGTTGCAAGGAGTTGTAACTGACACAAGGTTTTATTGTCAGAATCCCAACACCTGTAAATTCTATGTCTATCATTCCAATTCTAAATTCTATCATTCTATGGTTCTATGAAATCTGGGAAGAAGTGTGACACAACGAAGGAAGAAAAAGTTAATTTTGCAGTAAGTAGTGTTTTTTCTGAACAGGGAGAACAGTAAAAATTGGTGTGGCTCAGACCTGTTAAGATGGGCTCGTGTTCAGTTTCTGAAAACCACATCTTCTGTAGAAAGCTCTGGTAACCTTATGGGGGCGTCAAGGTCTTCAATTGAAATGGAACTGCACTGTAGCCTCAGTAATCTAACAGCACACTTTCCATTCTGCTGATACGGATAATGTTACCTACTGAAAACCTTTTGCAATTTGCAGTAGTGATTAGTTAGGGATCATGTGTGAACACAGATCTGACTTTCATGGGTTGTGTTCTCTCTTGATCTCTTTTCGCCCTTAAGTGCCTATGCCTGTAAATCTTCCCTGAGGCATCAGGACCTGAAAACAGTATTGTTTTCTGCGTAGCTATAAAAATAATCCCTGCACAGGCAATTTTTAATACGGTTGAAATGGAAAAGGATTAATCTTGGGATGTAAGAGCACCATAAATTTTTATGATCTTTTTAATGTTTAGGACCATGCAAGTCTTTTATGTGATATATTTTGGGATATTTCAAGAGCTGAAACAATTGCAATATATTTTCACCTAATTGTTGAAGTTTCAAATAAAGCTAAAGTTTATAAATTAATTGTTCATGTGTTTCTGCTGCAGTTGCTCTATTTGCGTTGCTCTTCTGGCCTCTGCTGCATGTTCCTCTTGCTTTCACTTTGCTCCTAGTTTGACCTTTTACTTGTGACTGTTTTCCTGAGCTGAGAGTAACAAGATAACTCTTAAAACCTTAAGGTATGAAATGTTTTCTTTAGGGCACAGTCAGGATTGTCCCATCAGGAATGAACGGCGTTCTTGACCAAAGCCTAATGGATTGAAAGAGGTGATGTGTGTTTGCTTTCAGTCTTGTCTTCTGGTGTTTTATTCAGGAAAGAAATTCAGTTGAGTAGTTCTTTGACTAAAAGCCACGTCCTTGTCTCAGACAGACCTGGTTTTGTGCAGACTGTAGCAATTTTCATTTGTCTTTTCATCTAGTGTTGTGCTGCTCGCTTGTTGGTTGCAACAGTCACGCTGGTGGGTTACCAAACCAATGACATTCAGATAAAAGATAACAAAGACAGCATTGTGGTGACTGTTCAACATAATCTGCCAGAGAGGAAGAACATGCCTGACACATTATTGACGCACACTTTTCAGAAAGCTGTTGTAGGAGGCACACAGAAAAGATAACCAGTGTTGGAACTCACCAGGGCCACGGCGCTCTCCCTGTGCGAGGGTCTGGTGGTGCTGCAGACGTGCAGAGGACTGGGTGAAACAGGTCTGCTGCTACCTGCAGGGAGAACAGGAGTCTAAAGGGTTCCAAAGACAGTCCCATTTACTTCCAGTGTATCCCCTCACCTCTGTTATTGTTGCTGCTATTGACGCTCTGGTGGAAGGAGATAGGATTTGGGCCCACAGAAAAAGCCTTTAGGGACTCCTGGGGAAAAATAAGCCTTATGCTGCTTTGTGAAGATAGACAACCCTGCTAATTGCAGTGAAAACACTGGAATCCCACAGTCATCTTCCTAGCAAGCAGAATCCTTGTTGTAGAACTAAAATAGCTATGAGAGTACAAGAGGAAACAAGCAATCTGTTTGATTAATATTTTATCTGATCTTCACTTTTTTGTTCTTTCTGCTCTACTGACGTGTTCTGGATTTCTTAGCAGAAACTTCAGTTTTAAAGCTCGAGGTAAGCCATGCAGCACAAATGGAAAAGTTTTGACACAATTTCTTGGAGCAAACCTGTCTTGAATTCAGTTGAAAGCAAGTAAGCAGTTCACACTAGTTGTACAAAACCACACTTTGCTTCATCTGAAGTCAGAACGCCCTTGACCCTTGCAAGCTTCGCAGCATCTCCTCGTGGTAGATTTGTCAGCTAACTAATTGCTTTCCCCATATGAACTTAAAAGAGGAAAAAAAAAGTTTCATTCATTCAATGAGCATCAAGATCTGCAAATACCAAAATACTCATGTTAGATTCTCTGGTATTAGGGGTGGGTTTTCAGGCATGGTTGGTGGTCTGGTGATGCATCAGTTCCTCTGATGGTTCCTTCTAATGTTTGCTGATGTAGTTCTTTGTCTGGAAGAGGCAGCACCGATATCAGTTTCTGAATGTTTGCCCAGTTTTCTGATGTACATAGGGCACATTGGCTCTTGCTTATACACGGCCTTTAGCACTCATTCTCTT